TTTTTTTTTCCCTTGTGTCTCTTGACAGACCTTAATGTGTGGTCTTCTTGGCATCCCTCCATCAAACGGTGTTATACCACAGTCCCCAATGCATACAAAAAGCTTGGCTACTCTTAAACACCAGGTGAGATTCTTTTTCGTGGAACTTTTTTTTTTCTTGGCTTTAAAATTTAGTCACACTCATTGTTACTCATAAGAAATTTTCTTTGTTTGAACTCTACAGTTGCTCAGGAACCGACTCGTTCAGACAGCACGCCAGAGCATTAGAACAAACTCAAGCTTGGGGCAATTGTATGGAAACATGCAAGAAGCTTATCGACAAATGCAGACCCCTCTCATCTACCAGGAGCCATCACAAAGAGTACATACATCTCCCACTTCCTTACATCACAAAGACAAACTTCTAATTTTTTGTGTTCTTTTTAACAGAAAAATCTTTCAGAAAATTACATGACAAGATGATTTAGGATGTGATTGGATATGAATTTGATTGGTTTCTTTTTAATCATAGTTAATTTTGAAAAAGGTGGTATGGTTAGTTGTTAGTGGGAATTTAAGTTTAAACTAAAGTAATATTTAAATAAAATAATTAAAGTTGATTTGATGTAAAAGTAGGAGAAAAATTATTGGAATTGATAGTTAGTTAATATTATGTGAATGGATGAATAGTCAATTAAAGTTGATGTGATTTGTAAGGATGATTATATTGATAATATTGAAGATAGTGGAGTTGGGTTAAAGTTGAGTTAAACTTGAATTTTGATTGGTCAAGTTTATATCCAATCACACCCTTACTGATTGAGACAATGTAAAAAAACCATTCATAGTTGATTGGTCAAGTTTATATCCAATCACACCCTTACTGATTGAGACAATGTAAAAAAACCATTCGTAGGGCCTAAAGGAGTTGAAAGAGTCAACTATTCAGTTGGCCTCGAGCATGGGGAGCTTTGATGCTCCAGTTGACGAGACAGTCTTTGATGTGGACAAGGAAATTGACGATTTACTCCCTGTCGAGGTCAAAGAACAGCGAGTGAGCAATTTGTTGCAGTCCATTATGGTTGGAGGGTGTGTAGCAGCAATGCCTGCTTTGAGAATGATCCCAACATCTGTTCTTTGGGGTTATTTTGCATTCATGGCAATCGAGAGCTTGCCGGGCAATCAGTTCTGGGAAAGGATATTGCTGCTATTCACTGCACCTAGCCGACGATATAAGTTCGTTATTTTCAAATTTTCTTTCGTTTTTTTTTTAAAATAATATTTGCAATATTCTGATTATTTGTGTTTTTTCAGGGTTTTGGAGGACTATCATGCGACGTTTGTGGAGACTGTTCCGTTCAAGACGATTGCCTTATTTACGATATTCCAGACGACTTATTTGCTTCTTTGTTTCGGGATTACGTGGGTCCCTATTGCGGGGGTTTTATTCCCTCTGCTTATTATGCTTTTGGTCCCCGTAAGACAATATGCACTGCCAAAGTTTTTCAAAGGGGCTCATTTGCAAGATTTGGATGCGGCCGAATATGAAGAGGCACCTGCTGTGCCGTTTGATATTCCAACGGTATTAATTAATCATTGTCCATTTTCATTCACCTGAAGTTTACTTATAAAATTAATGGTGTTTGCAAACACTCAGAAAG